TCTATTTGCCTTTCCATGGATATTTGTAAAGTAGTTTTATCATGACCAAAAAAAAAAAAAGTTAATTGTTCGCTCATTACCTAAAGCTTCTTAATGTTAGCAAAGTGAAGTTAAATGTTGAGCTGCCTTGTCATCTTTTCACGCAGGGTTCAGGGGAGCAGACGGTGGCACTGAAACATTTCCTTGTGGCTCTCAAGTTGGTGCGGCCGTCCTGCCTACGAAGCAGCCTGGGCCGGACGGACCTTGCTCCCGTAGCTTGGGAGCAGATCGGAGGTCTAGATGACATCAAACTGAAACTGAGACAGGTGAAATAATAACCTGTCATAATGGTGATACTGATATTAGACTATGCAGTTGTTTACACACTCGCCAGGCACTTTTCAATACAGGAGCCGCATTGAAAAGTTTACCTTTAAATATATGGCACATAATAGCTCTTAAAATCTTTCTTGAGGATTATTATGTAACACGTAAAGAATCTCAACTCTTTCAGTGTAATTGGTAATAGAATTAATCCACAGTTAATGTAGTTGACCATTTTGATCAGTACTCTGATTTTGATGATGAAAAGTGTCACTCGTGTCACTCTTCACTTCATCTCTACTGCTTCTGCCTTGGCTGACACCGACAGCTGTGCTGCAACAACCCGGAAGAGTGTCCCCCTCTCGTGCTTGTTGGTTACACATAATCAGTGTCACCCTCAGAAAGGTTGAAACCTGTCTTAGTTTTGATCAAAAACAGATTCAGAATCTAGTCTGCAATGCACAGTTAAGAAGATGGACAAGCCCATTGCGTGAGAGGGGAACAGAAGTGCTCAAAACAATTATGATGCAGGAAGTATTTTGACGTGTTGATGTGTGTGGATGAAGTAAATTAAGTTTTAATTAAGTTTTACTTTAAAGTATAAATTATGTTTTTAGAGTTTAAGAGATGTTTAGGTTGCCCCAGGCTTAGCATGTCCCGGGAAAATTTCGAGGCAACTGGAGGATCATTCACTCCCGCCTTCTCTGAGCACTTTCTACAAAGTAATATGTGGGTTGCCTTAGTTTAGCTGTGTGTGGGATAAAGTAAATGAAATTGATTTATGGCAATTCAGTATTAACTAAGGACTAGATGAGCAATACCAGTTTAGTACTTCAAAGTTAAATTGTACCATGTCACTGTTCCACTTTAGTTTAATCCTCTCACTCAGCTAAATAAGGTCAGCAACATTTCAGAAACTGCTCTTCCTTCCACCCCAAGCCATCCTTGCCACCCCAAAGAGGACAAGTGGTCTAGAAAATGGGACGGATGGATCGTTTGTGTTCTTATACTTGACATCAATTGGGTATTTTGACACATTTTGTGCTGAAATGTTTCCATAAGAGAGAACAATGTCACTCTATTTTTACGTTGATCCAAATTTGCATTGGAATTGGTGAGGAAATCCAGGAGCATCACAGTTGTCAACAAATTGTCTTAAAAATTTGGAGTATCATGGGGAAAAGTTACTACTTGAGGCCATCAGATTCTAAATTGAGCAATACAGTGACCCCTGCTCTATCTACGTGCTACAGAATGCTGGCAAACCACTACTTCTGTCTAAATGAAGCTCCTCCACTCACTTCAACGTAGTTCCTTGGCACCAAGATGCCAGAAGATCTGCTTATTGCTTTGGCCTGAGCACAAAAATGAAATGTTAATCATGAAGGACAGGGGTTCACTGTATTAGCTCCTTTAGTGTTTATTTCTTTCCATTCATTGTGTTCCTCTGTGTGTGTTTGTGCATGCCTGTGTATTTATGTTTGAAGAGTATCGAGTGGCCACTGATGTACCCTGAAGCCTTCTCCCGCCTGGGTCTGTGTCGCCCCCGTGGCGTCCTTCTCTACGGGCCCCCAGGTTGTGCCAAGACGACACTGGTCCGAGCGGCAGCCTCGGCCTCAAATTGTACCTTCCTCTCTGTCAGTGGCGCTGACCTCTATTCGCCCTACGTGGGAGACTCGGAGAAGGCTTTGTCACAGGTGCTTTGTCTCATCTATTCGTGTCCTCTTTTTTGGGTTTCATCTGCAAACTCCCCTCTGTTGCCCAGCTGTTTCGTCAAGCGCGGGCCTGCGCTCCATGCGTCCTTTTCCTGGATGAGATCGACTCTGTGATCGGCTCGCGTTGCAACGGTCAGGCGCCTAGCAGCGTTCAGACTCGACTCTTGTCCGTGCTTCTCAATGAGATGGATGGCGTCGGCCTGAAGACGCTGGAAAGGAGGGGGACGCAGAAGATCCTTCAGGTCGAGGGAGCAGAGGAAAATCAGACTGCAGAACAGGTTAGACCACATGTCAAACATGAGGCCACGCCTCTTAAAGGCACCCATTCACAGTAATGTCATCCAATCTGTTCCTGTTTCCCCAAAACAGTTTATTCAGCGTTTTCTTCTTTCATTAGTGTACAGTAACAAATTGTTGCTAGTATAAATTTGTGCTCTTTGACAGATGAGCAGCCAGGAAGTGTGCAACAAAGACGTGATGGTTGTAGCAGCCACAAACCGACCCGACTGTCTGGACAGTGCCCTTCTGAGGCCTGGCAGACTGGACCACATTCTTTACGTGCCACCACCGGATCAGCAGGTTAGTTAGTTGTCAGTAAAAACATGTTATATAAACTACCTCAATGAAATCAACAATTTCAGGGAGAAAAAGTCAGAATGCCTGTGTCTGGGCTCTCATCAAATTCATTGTTATCTTTCTGATTATCCAAAGCCACCTACGACAATTGAAAATCCGCTACTTAGAGATACTATACCAAATAAATTTTTTAAAATGGTTTTACCCGCCCTCACACAAAAAAACCGTAACACATAAAGTATTCTTGAGACCCTTTTTTTTTTACTCTTTCACTGTCAAGAAATGGGATCACTATTGTCACTTTGAGGAAGTAAAAATAAGACACCACTTGTTCACACAGTGCCAAGCCAAAGTTTCCTAGTTTAATGTTAATGTACAATGCAAAACGCCATAGACAGGCTAACGGAAATTGACATAGATGTTAGTTACAGTAATTGTAAACCTTCAATCAAAAGCGTTTTTCGAGTTATTCAGAATAAATTTCATTTTTTTCCCCCAAACATTTTGAGGGAGGATTCAAAATAAAATAAGGAACATTTATAATTCAGAGATGAAAGTCCTCTGGATTTTCCCGGAATTCCGGGTTTTTCATTATTTTTATGAAATTCTGTCCGGAGAATTGAGGAAAATTTGCTGAAAATTAATCCGGATATTAGTTGACAACATTGAACGAAGACGCGTTTGAGTTTGTTGTTTTGCTTTCATGAGCGTAGCCGTGTTGAAACACTAACACGAGTAACTGTAAAGAGATTTTCGTCTCTTTATAAACACACTTGCTAAACCCCAGTGGAACGAACAAAAGACACCGTGGACAAGACAGTTGTCGTAAAAAATATATTTGGACAAAAAGGGAAACACACAGATTGGCAGAAAAACGTGTCCGTCCGACTTCGAGTGTCGTCTCGGCAAGCCTCGTTTAGCTGTTGTCGTGTGTGATGTCGGGTGTGTGACGTTGTTACGTCAGCGCTGATTGGTTGAAATCAAAAGACGCGCTTGCGTAAATGTTCGCGCTGACGCACGCACAGCAGAGAGCAGCGAACAAGCTAGAGTGGCGTCGCTACAACAGTAATAATATCCTCGTCTTGCATTCTCATGGCCTCGCCATATAAGATAAGATAAGATATATCTGAGATTTCGAAATTTCGGTGAGAACGGGAGCCACAAAGGGTGCATGAGCCCGATCACTTAACTTGATTTGCAGGCCCGAGCCCGAAGCAAACCGTGATTTCATATTTTATTTGGGAGGACTCGGGAGGAGGAGGGGTGATTGCTGATAACAAAGCCTGTCTTTTGGAATGAAATCTAAGTTAAACAAGACTGGATAAACATTTACATCTATTATATTTCTGTTTCTGAAGAGGTTACATTAACGGACAATTTTCCATCATTGATGGATTTTTTTTAAGAGTGGACGGGGAAAATTTAAGGCCGTCCGTCATTTTGACGGGTTGAAAATGGGGCCATTCACACCACAGCAGCAATATGTCCTTAAGAATCGAGCGCGGCACTTGAAGAGAGAGAAGCAGCGAGACAAAAAAGAACAATGACGGCTGGATCATAAAGATATGAAGGAGTTCTTTGAATTGTCATTGCGAGAGTTTAGTACAGTACGTGTTGTGATGACGCCACTTGAGTTTTTTTGCGAACCACGGTCTCTCGTGGCCAAAACAATTAACGGACTCGAAAAAGAAAAAAGTCAGCGGGAGAAAAGCCCGACCCGAACCGAACAATGATTGACATTTTTAGACCCGACCCGAAATCATCCTGAACTCTTTTTTTATGGAGGGCGGGGGCCATTTTGGCTTTCTTTGCAGATTTTCAAAGTTGTGGGTTGATAAATGTGACTTGTCTTGTGTTTAGGCTCGTCTCGCCATCCTGAAGGTGTGTACAAAGTCCATGCCTGTGGCTCCTGATGTGTGTTTGGAGGAGTTGGTTGCTGGGACCGATCTTTACTCTGGGGCTGACCTGGAAAACCTTTGTAAAGAGGTAATGAAGAGCATTTCTTAAGTCTCAGATCAGGATAGAAATGTCAGAATTTCTCTTTTTCTCAGAAGCGGCAGGTATATGAAAATGTGTGTTTTTGTATTGCAGGCTGCTCTGCTGGCGTTAGAAGAAAACATGGAGGCGTCGAGCATCAAACATGTGCACTTCCTGCAGTCTCTCAAGAAAACCAAGCCGTCCCTCACAGTCCAGCAAATCCAAACATACCAAATAGCATCTTGTAAGAAGATGTAAAGTTCCACCAACAATTCTTTTTAATAAAACAACCCCAAAAAATGATCTTTAGTGTCTTGTTATTGCCTCCTCTCAAAGTGCATTCTCCCGTCAGGATGCAAGGGGGCGCTGTGCGCTATTGAATGTATTGATCCGCTACTTTAATGGTTGGCCAATTCTCCCCTGGTGAATAGCAGAGCAGGAAGCTGTGTGTGTCTACGTGCCAGTCACCTCGTCCTCACCGCCTATCTCAGCCGGGAGTAGGCGGAAGCGATGCTTCACTGACTCTCACGCCGAGAGCTACTTGACGACTAAAGGTGAGAGCTGCTCCATGCAGATGACACTTTTCGACACTTTTAGAAACAGCCACTATGGTGCCAAGTTGTGGATATTCACGGGAATAACCCAGGAAATTACCAAAGAGAAAATTGGTTCTTAAAATATAGATGGGTGAAATAATTTTGGATGGAATTATATTCTGACTGAAGCATATTTCACGCAAATACAGTTGACTCTGATGAAGAGCTCATTGCTCGAAAGGGTTCAATAAAAATGCAGTAGCTTGAGAAGCGGAGATAAATTTGCATTGTGAATGGGACTTCGTTGTTATTCAGTGATAATTTTTGAAAAGGTTGAGGATAGGGAGCTGCTTCATATTTCACCCAGCATTCGTGTTTTTCGGTCAAATGGCTTTTTTGATCAAATGTTTAAAACTTGATATTGTTCTTACAAATAAAGTAGTTGAAATGCCAGGTTTTTAAATCGCTTTATTTTGCATGGATGCCTGACAAAAGAAAATATTTGTATTTATGTTTGAATATAATAGTTTCCATTACGGTACATTCATTCCCATAGATAAATCCCATGGAAAGATCCCAATCTGGAAAGTACTGCCTTGCGATATGAGGCACCAGATTTGTATATATTTTTTAGATTTAAAAGCTTATTTATTCATTTGACTTGTGAGCAAAAATTTCAACAGTGAACTCACTTCACAGCAGTTTGGCAATTTTGAACAATCCTTCAAAAAGAGCCTTTCTTTTGTTTTGTTTTTTTACACTCTCATTTGAAGGTTACTGTGAAGTTAATGAAGGAAAATTACATGTTGTGTACAACCAGAACTTTGCCTTACAGTATGCTAGCTCAATGCTAAAAACAATGCAAAACACTGTCGACAGGCTAAGAAGTAGCATCCTTGTCATGGTATTATAACCCTTTAAGCAAGAGATATTTGAACACAAATGGTGGAGCAACACATGTTGACAGATGACAATACTTACAGGTAAACTGTATATTTTTACCGTTCATTTAATTTCCATCTTTCATAGAAGAAACGTGATGCGAGTCACAAACATGGTCATGGAAAAAAAATGTATCTCAAGGCATGACTGAATTTTCAAAAATATCCATTTTAGCTTCCAATGAAAAGTTAAAGGAAACTTTTTGGAAATCTTTGACGGGGCTAATGTACAGCTATGGCCTGTTTCTCATCAGGTATCAAAGGACTTGTGCAAAATGAGGGGATTTTTCCAAATGTTGAAGAAGAAAAAAGAGGTTAGTCTGAATTGGATGATGTTTTGTGAGTGATCAAAGCTGAGTTTGGTTTCATTTATTCAGTTTTTTGAAATATTTAATTTCCAATTCCGATTGCATGCAGCTGATCCCGCTGATTGGGTTCATGGCTTTCGCCGCGACGGGAGCCACCACGGCATCTATCTACTTTCTTTTCACCAAATCTGATGTCATGTGAGTGGCACGAGAGTTGTTGTTGTCGAACTGTTTTGTTTTTGTGCTTTCACATCAGAGGTTTGATTGTGTTGTTGCATCTGTATTGTTTTCAGTTTGAATAAGACCTCCAATCCAGAACCGTGGGAGAGAGTGGATCCATCCCAGCCCCAAAAGGTGAAAAACTTTCAGCCCATTTTGTTTTGTTGGTGTACACTACTTCATTCGAATTTGAGCTGAGATGAGAACAGAAGTTTCCCGAGTGCTAGTGAAAGCTGCTGAGTCATAGAGGAAGCAATGTTATTGAATAAGTACACACAGTCCAGCCTGCTTTCCAGACAAATTGATATTAATGTCTATGTCTGCATGCTAATGAGCAGCTCTGCTTCTGTGGCATTTTATCAAACCATGACCAAACTCTGAAATGGATTAGAAATGTCATTCATTTGTTCTTGTAACATTTTTTTCAGCACTCTACAGTAGTGTACTTCATGCAAAAAAACATAGTTATAACACAATGAAATAGAATGTACATAATGAAACAAATTTTACATCATGATTAATTCACTATGATTGTGTGGCTACTTTTAATGTGCGAGCTATGACCACTAGGGGACAGTATAATATAGGTACAGTATACAGATATGCACAATGACGGTCACAACTCCTCAGTAAGCAGCAGGAATGTTTGTCGTTGTTCACTGAGGACAAAGAATATATGCCTGTGAGTATTGTTACAGTATCTGTCCAATGTTTAGCCACCATTCACATATCCGCTGCTTAATGGTTATACGGCGGTGACACTGATGATATTCGTTATTTATTTTGCATTGCGTGTCAGCTCAGGTAGTGGACAATAAAGGCAACGTTTTGGTACAACTTGCAGTTCTATTTCTTATTTAATTCGACAATAGACTTCAAGTGGAAATTGGAATGAACAGCTTGTAGCCGATTTTTGGCGGATTTTTCATTCTGCCAGTTTGCTGCCATTGTTTTGTGGTCTTATCTGAAATCTTTGCTCAAGTCTCATTACTTGAATATTCGTAAACTTGCGCCACTCATAAATCAAATTACCTCTGTACTGAAATTTTGGCAAATGAAAAAATACAGCTCCTAAAACTACTGTGCCAGGTGGATATTAAATAATTTATTATTTCTTGTAGAACCTGTCTACTGCCCAAAGGCAGCTGGGATAGGCTCCAGGACGCCCGCGACTCTTGTGAGGATAAGCCGATTAGAAAATTGATCAATGGATGGATGGATGGATGTTTGACCGTACAGAAGGAAGGTTGAACAGTCATTTGGAAATTGTAGTTTACTTTCATACACACGTGGTGACTTTTTTTTTTTAATCTTGCACGTGACAAATACCCCACACACACACAAAAAAAATCTAATACAAAAACGAATAAAAACTTAACCAAAAGCAACATTAAAAAAAAGAAAACTAATAAGAACTAACAAACTTTTGCTAAAATCGAATTAAAACTAAGGCAACTGAATTTAAAAAAAACTAAATAAAAACTAATTATCAAAACTAAATAAAAACTAATCATCATGAAAAATCCAAAACTATTATAACCCAGGTATATTTTAATGTAATCATTATTCAAGTGAAGTTTCCTTTCCTTTCTTTAAGCGCAGTGTTATATTACATCTCTGCTTTATGTTACAATGGCTCACAAAAGTCCCATGAAGTAGAAATAAATGTCATGTAAATTTGACACAACACTTCCAAGTGTGTTTCACACAACCTGGACACATTTGAATGACTGCTAAAATCGGCAAGTACTATTAGTCTCCATCAAATTCAAATCGTGAATCGTGATCCATTTTCTTTCTCACCCCCTTGCAGCTCATCACCATCAACCAGCAGTGGAAGCCAGTGAAGGAGCTGGAGTTGGTGAAAAGTCTCAGCAAGTGAAAGGCACTCTGACCAATCCTGACCTCGAGCGCCGCCCTCCTTCCCCCACCCACCAGTTGAACAGAATCCTTTGCACACCAACTCATTTTTGTAGATAGTGTGCGGAAACGCTTCTGTCTGCTCTTTAGCTGCGCGACTGTTAGCTAGGTCGACCGCAAGAATCGCCCGCAAATCATGCTGACAAGAAGTAGCTCACACAGTAAATGTGGCTGTACAAACTAGTCAAAATGGGACACCTGCAGTGAATAATGTACTGTACGATATTTGAGTGCTCATAAATTATGTATTCAATGAACTGTTGACTATTACTGGTCAGCTATGCCAACTATACCAATGCCTGGATAATAATGTATTGATCTTGCTGGTTAGTCATCGTTGCCACCATCCAAACATACTCTTCAACCTGTTTATGGATAAGTGAGCTGCCAAATTCCACCCAAAACTATTTGCTTAATGATGGAGGACGATCATCACGTTGCCAAAGCCGGAACTGTTGCCTCATCAATGATTCATTGCATCACAACGGAGCTTTCAGGATATCACTTTCATTTCTGCGTTGTATTTTCCCTCTTGCGTTGAGTAGCTGCCTCCGAGCGTGTCACGTCATGTTGTAAAAAGAGGAAGTGCTGAAGGTTCCGAAATGTATTGGAAAGATTCTTCATCTACTTCGGAGGTACATCCATCAAGCTACACCGGCTGCAGCTGAAATGTTATTTAGGGAAACAATAGCAGAGGAGGAAGGATGTAAAGTGCTGGAAGGAATTTGCGGTCTTGTTGAGCGTGTCACACGTAAGGTGGCTTGATCATGACAGTTATTGACTAGTGGTCAGCTATTTGAACAACAACATTACCAAGGTCGAGCTAGCAATTTTAGACCTTATTATTCAGCTTTGTGGAACACTACACAGTTTCCATTATACAACAAATTTTTATATAATAAGACTTTATTATTCATATATATGAACCACCACACTACCCATATTTAGATATCAGTGAGTATTCATCGGCTATGTGAATCACTATACTAACATTTTCTAGATAATAGTTTTAATGAATCACCTATGTGAACCACTATAGTCACATCCTCCTGATAATATAGGCTTTATCCGCCATCTTTGTGAGCCATTACTACCTTTTTAGATCATTATAGAAAGTCATCTGTGTGCACTACTAATTTCTAGATAAACATGGACTTTATTAACCAGCCATGTGAATTCTTATAGGACATATTTCTAGGCAATGCCAACCACTACACTACCAATTTCTTGACACTAATAGTATATATTTTATTGGCTATGTGAACATTACACTACGAATTATAGACTATCAGCCATCAATATGCACCACTCCACAAGCACTTTCCAGTTAATATAAATTGAGCTATGTGAACCACTATATTACCATTTTCTTGATAATTAGACTTTACTGTATATGTATTATCCTATATACGTCATGAGTAAACTGTGATAAAACAGTACTTGAATTGGACCTGTGGCTCCTTTTGAATTTAGGCGTGCGAATACTGTATCTCATGCTCACAACGTGACTTGTCACGTTTGTTTTGTTAAGTCACGTGGGTGTGTGCAAACACTTTCGGTTTATGGTCACACACGGGAAACCCGGACACACCCCATTAACGCCTCACTTGTAAAGGGAAACCTAAGGATGTGTACATATTTGATGAGTTTACGTTCCTTACGGCCAATATTATGCAATTATTTCTGCACACATTTCATATTGTCTATTGAACATTATTCAGATGGAATCATCGATCGTGCCATCATTTTACGAAGGTGCGGATTCTTGCACTGCCTTACAGCAATATCAGTCTCAGCAGCCATTCCGAAGCTAGTTCAGTAAGTGCACCACCAAGCGGACGTTAAAGGACATGACAGCCGATATATAGCGTGTTTAGTTTGCGCTTGTAAAAGGCAAAACCTGCCACAGTCAAATAAGCATTAGTTTTGATGCAGAACGTTTCTTTTTTTATTATTATTTTTTTGCATTGTTAAAATGTGGTAGTAGAATACGTGACTATATTAGCAGCACGTGTGCGTTTCTCGTGAGTCTATGTATTATGCAAGTTAAATACATTAGACATTAAAATACAATTTAGTCACACCCCCCCGAAAAAAATAAACACAAATAAAACACACATACTTGAAAGCACTGTGGGTGAAACAAACATCGAAAGGTTTTATTACAAAACACTGATCCTGATTCGTGTTCCAATAATTAGTACGAGCAATATGAATGTAATTACAATTCGCGAATTCCAAGTCACACTTTCCTTTCAAAACACAGAAATACTGGAGAGGTTGAGTCAATGCTGCAATACTGTCAGTCACCACTGAAGTACAGCAGCTTTCATGGCACTTAAAACACGCCAACTCCTGCCACCTGCAACTTTAAAGACACTCCAATGTCAAGTGTTGACGGAAATTAATTTGAATACTAGTCTAGTCTTACTGTTGAATATAAAGTGACTTCGATTAGTACAGTGAGGTGTCTTAGCTGATTCAGTCAGCTTACTGGCCACAGCTGTACATTGCTGCGAAACAAAGGAAAGTGGTTTGAGCTTTTGTTCCATGTCCTTGCTATCCGGCTAAAGGTCCATGTATGAGTAAACCCTTTGACCTCTCCCCAAAGACAATGAAGTGCAATACTAATCACTTACTAGCACACAATTAAGCCTTACTGGTTCAGGTCTGTGGTACACTCGTAACGCTACCGGCAATACCAAAATGCCTACCAGTAGTTTTGCCTATTGACATGTAATTGTTCTGCTAGTATACCAAAATTACAATACAAGTGAGGACAAACAGCATACTAGTACATGGAGCTTACTAGATATTAAGGTTATTGAACTAAATGCTTAAACAGTGTAATAGAGAGAGTGAAGCGAAACTCAGTCTGCACTAGTAGGATATCTACATGACCACTGAAGCAAAAGTCCACAGTATTTAACATCTGCATGCTACAAGTGCTTTGAGCAAAGTGCTAGATGTTCACCGGTAGAATTTAACGTCACTAGTAGCATGCAGTAACCAAAGTTGTCCTACTAGTGTGCATAAATGTCATACACTAGTACAAAGCAGCCGTGGGGGAAAAAATGCCGAATAACACACAGTTCTGGCGTGCTGAGTTGTCTACTAGTGACAAACCAGCACACTAGTTCATGGACCTTAAAATAGAGAGCAAAGAATGGATGAAAGGATGAAGACAATTTCAAACGGCTTGATGGAAAAGCGTTTACTCGATATCCTATCTAGCTTAAGGTTAGCAAAAGTACTCGTATACTCTTGTCCTCACTAGTCAGAAAACTATTTGTTACTATTAGGCAGTTGGTAACCGCATGCAAATAGTACTACTCGGAACATAGTTCTACCAACTATTTGGGGCTTTACTAGTAGCACCGGTAGTGTACAGATCTCAACTAGAGCACAGTTGTAGTCTTACTAGTGTGCAAAAATGAAGTCGTGACCCAAAAAAACCCCAAAAATTATATACATATGACACAGCTGTTCTACTTGCTATGTTGTTTCACTTGATGAGTAAAATAGTGTACTAGTACAGGGACCTTAAAGCTGGATATCAAAGCTATTGACTAAACGCTCAAACGGCTTCCCATAGATTTAGTAACAGAGGCTAAAGAAGCCACAATAACAAAAACTATTCACCTGTTGCCAAACACCAAGGTGTAAAATAGATAAATAGGCCGCAACGGTGAATTAAGAGAATGTGCTGAAGGTTCACATCCTTTAACTGAACATTTCAATGGTCAGCCAACATTGCCTGAAGAGCAGTCAGTCTTCACAGGCCGCAGTAATCCTTTCGGTAGACGTGCTCGACTCCTCCTATTGTTCCGCGTCATTTTCTGGCGGTGGAACAGTCGGCCTGGTTCTGCCTGAACTTGCCAACACGTGGCTCAGCAGAGATGCACAAAGAGGAAGAAGTGAAAGTAGTTGAAAGCGGAGAGTGTCTTTAAGTGCTGGTCTGCTCACAGTGTGCACAGATGCGCACAGGCCTCTGTCTGTGCGTCTGGACCTGAACCGTGCATCTGGTCAGACCATAGGTGTGGAGCAACAGGTGGCGGGCCTTTGCCTGGACGTCCTCCCACTTGTTGGCACTTAAGGGTGCTGGAAGCACAACAATGCGACATGAGATTGGAAAAGCTGTCATGAAATTAGCAATGGTGAGAAGTCACAAGGTACTGTACTTGGCTCTTTCGACTTCACAACAATCAGTAGGCCTCACTATACAGAGTATGGAGGCATAAAACATTAACATAAAATAACAATAATGCAACAGAACACGTAAAATAAAACAATGGAAATAATACAGTCATAACAAGTATTCCTACATGTTCCATTAGATATTTTTAAATTCTGTGATCTTATTATAGGCAATGTTAAAATTCAACTTTTCTTGTAAGCATATGTAAATCATAGCGGGGGGTTCCATATTTTCTGATGCAATATTGTATTCAAGTCTTTTATACAGACAGTAGAGAAGCTTCCACTTCTTAAATTAAAATGTATTTCTTATCCATGGTCAGCAGAGGGTGTCCCCACTTAAAATCAAAATTGCTTCATTCATTTTCTTCGGTGGGGCAAGTCAGTGTATTGCTGATTATTTATTTTAGAAACAAAGAATGATGAAATTGTATATGTTGTTTTAATTAGTAAATATGAACTGGAAAAAAAAAAACGTTTTTTCAGTTGAGGTTGGTGGGTAAGGAAAAAATGAACACCAAACAATAACCTCTGGTGCTCATTTGAGAACCACAACAACATTTTTATGTGGACCCCTGCTCATAAATGCATGAATAGCCTGAACATGAATGTATGTTGCGCTAAAGCGACTCACTTAGCTGAAGATGCACAAGTGCTGCGGTCTTATCCGCAGTCAGCGCCCAAACATTCAGCTCGTCCACCGATTGCACGTCCTCAAGCTTCAGGAGATCCTCTCTGATCTGCACTGTGTCCAGGTGCCGGGGCACGCCTGGCGGTGCCCAAAAAGGGGAGAACCATGGACATGAGACCGCAATGTCGCACATTTGCGAACAATCTGATACTTGCCTTCCAGCACGATGACTGTTGTGTCGCGTATGATGCGGACTGTGGTGAAGAGAACCAGAAGGGAGAAGATGTAGGTGCAGATGGGATCTGCAAGTTTATACTCGGGCTGAGGAGATAGAAAGCGCCAGAGTGTGGCAGTCAAAGCTGAGCCTTAAGTAACTGCCAATGTTGCTATCATGGTGACAAATATGCATCCATATACTGTACAGTATGCACCAAATGGAAAGAAATATTCCACAATCTTGAAAGGTTGGTGAATTCATTGATTCTACTCATGAATTCAATTTTAATACTAATTGTTTCATTTAGTTTCATTAATTTTCAAAACAGAAAGGAATCATTTTGATGTTAGACAAGAAAATGACATGGTCCTCATTTACGTGACATAAAAGCAGCTCTTGAAATGTACAGGTTTTTTTTCCCTTGATGTAAATTGGTTCCAAGCCGCAAATATTTTGCTGAGTTCACCTACACACCATCATGTTGATGAAAGGACTGCATTTGCATATGTTATCTCACAAAAGCGGGTACTGCTGTCACAATTCTGTATGTATTGTATTATATATTTTCAGGGGACAACACTGAAGATATGTCTTTTGCCATCTTTTGCACCACTTGTTTTTTTCAGTTCTTCAAATAGTTTTTTGCCAAAGATTTGATTTCTGATGAGCATGAACAGATGCAAGAGCGGCGTCAAGGCACCTTGAAGCGGACGATGTAGGCAGCTATGAGAACCCCGAAGCTCTGGAGGAGGTCGCCCAAAGCGTGGATGAAGGCGGCTCGGACAGCCAGGCTGCCGTGCGGCCTCTGGTTCTGTGCCGACCCTGTGGATTGTGACCCCGAAGCGGCTGCCGTGCCGTGTGAGTGACCGTGGCCATGAGAGTGCATGTGACCACCTTGGTTTAATAAGAAGCCCATTCTGAATAGGAAAAAAAAAGGAGCATCTTTTATGTTCAACTTATTACTGTAGTCACAACTCTCACCCACTCAAAAACACCCACGTCTCATTGAGTGAGAAACACACATTCAGACTCACATGAGGTTGACAGCCACACCCACAGCTGCTGTGATGATCATGACATCGCCATCGATGTTGAAGTCTTGGTTTACCGTCCGCTGAACGGCCTCAAAGAGCAGTATCGCCGTCAGGATGTAGATGAGCGCCACACTAAGGACAGCTGATATTACCTCTGCCCCGGAAACAGTTAAGTATCACAGTTGAAGCATTTTTTTTTGGGATGAGGCCCTCTTGGGGTCTGAATCACAGATAGACAATAAAAATAACCACAACAACTTTCATCATGAAGATCTATGTACTTGATTACTCTCTGATCAATCAAGGAAAATGTCAAAAATTGCCTTCTGAATCCAAACCTTATGGATGGTCATTGAAAGGTACAGTAATTGTTTCATTCACATTTGTGCCCCACCCCTTCAGTTTTCACAGGAATGTGAACAAATGATGCTATGTATATTTGTTATAGAATTTCCACAAAATGGCATACTTCAACCTCCTGGGTGGAGGAAACACCTCTTAGTAAAGGAATGTAATTACCATATTTTTTTCATAGATTGGCTGATCCTGCGACTTATACTCGGGTGTGACTTGTAAATAAAATTAGTGCTCAGACTGGCACCTGCTCCCCAACCATGTTGACTTTCTTTGGCCGGTTGATTAATACTTTTGGTGAATCACCACCAGTGGCCAGAAGGTGGCAGTACTGCACCAGAGGTATCCTCCCAAAAGTAAGTGGTAGTCAAAGAAGAAGACACTGCTACATGAATGATTCCACAGCTTTGAGTCACATCTCGGCTTGGAATTGTCAGTTTAGGATCTTGGAAGAAGAGCCTTACCGAGGCGATGCAGTCCAAAGGTGAATCTCTTGGTGGGCGGTTTAGTGGACAGCCACAGAGCCAGCAGAGAGAACAGGATCCCCACCACATCGGTTAACATGTGCACAGCGTCAGTCATGATGGCTAAGCTATTTGAAACATAGCCACCTGAAAGAACCATACAATGAAATCCATGATACTTGGGGACAAGAACAGAACCCTGCCATGACATTGGCTAACATAATACCTACATAAATGCATAAAATTAATCAAATGTTTATTGTGATGACTGTTTTTCATGTTTTAATCTAGAGTGACTGCTTGCAGCACAGTGGCGTAATGGTTAGCACGTCTATGTATCACAGCTGAAAAGTTGGGGTTTGAATACCGTGTGTATAAAAAAAAAACAATGAAACAATCATAAACAGTATCATATTATAAATAATAAGAGAAATATTTAATGAAAGTGTTATTTAAAAATAACACTTTCATTAAATGTATCTGCAAAATATTGTGTTGTTTCAACATTATTATTCATAATAAATTTATTACACATTTGATATATATGGACACACATGCACACACACACACCGCTTGATAATGTAGGTTGGCCAGATTAAAGAACGCAGTGGGCTGTGTGTAGCTATACTTTTCCCACCCCCGACATCGACTCTGCTTACCTATAATTTCAGCCACCATAAAGAGAAAGTAGAGCACAGCTGCAATGACCAGCCTCTTCATCACCTTCCTCTGCTTCATGGTCTCCCTCTTCCTGGTGCAGCTGTCGCATGGGTCCATGTTCAAGCCCGGGCTGCCCAGGCTGGAGGAAGAGTCCAGTAGGGAGTCATCATCTTCGTCTCGCCCCGCCACCACCAGCGTATTGACCGCCACCCCGTTGGACGGAGCCCCTGCGGCGTAGTCCGACATCTCGCCGGAGACCACCACCTTCATATGCAAAGCCATTTGGGCATTTATTTAACATCTAAAGGTCCATGGGTACACCCTTTGTCCTCACTAGTAAGTCCCAGAGTGTGAGTGTGAGCGTGGTTGGTTGTTTATGTGTGCCTTACGATTGGCTGCCAACCAAGTCAGGGTATACCCTGCCTACTGTCCGATGACAGCTGGGATAGACTCCAGCACGTCTTGCGACCCTTGTGAGGTTAAGCGGATCAGAAAATGGATGCGTGGATGTATTCTTTATTTGTTTAACACAATGTCCCAACTTCATTGGAACTGGTTTTGCAAAATGACCCTGTAGTAAAAAAACTGTTGACCTAGTCAAGTTTTTTTCCATTATTGCATACTAGAAGGACAACTACATGTTCCAAGTGAGGCAAAACTATCAGTGGGCAATTTGGGTCCAGGGGGATTATTGTCCATGACACATTATGAATAGTTGGGCTTAGTAGTGTTGCAGCACAGTAGTAAGGTTTAACTGTGTATTACTCAGACAAGAGTGGTAGTAATAGTGGGGGGAAAAACATTACTAGTAACAAACATTCATTCTACTGGTGCACGACTATCAGAAGTGAGGGACTGAAGTCACACGACTTGACTTGAATCATCAATTCTGGGCTTGAGAAATGCTTCACTAAAATTTATCAAAGCCCCGCTTTGATGAAATTACATAACTTTATAAGTTTTGCCTGTTTACATTTGGAATATGTACTATACTATGGTATTTGCTTTGTGTCTGTTAAGCTTTTATTTGAGAAGACAATAAAAAGACAATTCTGAGGCTGGTTTTGGAGCCATAAAAAAAAGCATGATGTGTTACTACAGTGAGTGCTAAGCGGCAAATGTGAGAATACATGTGACTGAGCAAGATTTTATGACTTGACTTATTGTTTAACGGCTTACTTGAATGTTTCCTCAGTAACTTGGGACTTGCTTGACTGTTTAGACTTGAGACTTTGACATGCTAGCGCGTGGGCGAAACCTCCTAAAATTTCACAAAACTATACTTACCTATTTGTCAGTCTCCACATTTTTTTTTAATGATGAACCAATACAAAGTATTAAGAATGGCTTGCTCTCTTTGACAAAGCAAAGTTAATGGTGTGCTTTTTTTTCCTTCTTTTTTTATTATTTTCTAAAAAAGATGTGATTTTTGGAGATGATTCGCACAACACCATGTACATCTCCCACCTCTGCTTACTAGTGAGGACAAAGAAGGTACTATTGCATGCATCTAGGGCTTGATATCGAGGATACTGAATAAATGGATTGCCATACCTTCAGTTTGCTGAATTTGGGCGCTTCGTCTTCCACAAGCTCGTCGGAGAAGTCGAAGGGTGCCGTGTCGCTGCTCATGTCCCATTCGTTACGCTCTCTCCTGAAGGCGGAGCGCACCTTGCTCAACAGGCTACCGCTGGACATCTTTAAAAGTATCCAAGGCTGACTGTGCATACAGGACACTTTCCTCCCGGGTCAATTATTCACATTGCATAACTGCTATGAACACCCACGTTTATTTCATTGGGACCTGGAAGAGATGAAAACAAGAGCTACTGAACAGCATGTACATTCTTACCACAGTTTGTATCTTTAACCTTCAAGCCTTGTTCTATTTTACCCTCCCTTTCAGTTTGTGTTGTAAGCTCAGAAAAAAAAAAATCTGTTCAGGACTCGGTATTCGCAGATACTTAAAACTAAAGACTCAGATTAAGACTCGAGATAAAAAAAAAAGCGTGATCAGGACATCCCTAGTGCAATTTAAATTAGAAATCACACTTTGCAGCCACCAATCAAGCCATTTAAGTAGGTTTAATTGGCTGCTGCACGGTGGCCAGCTGTCTTCAAATCCGGAAATGTATTTGATTGTATTGTGTGCAGATGAAAGGTGAATTTTATGGAGAAATGTGAATGTTTTTTTTTGGGGGGGGGGGGGCTTCGTTGCAGCCCCGGAGCCGGACGAAAACTGTCTCTCCATCTTCAACCAATTGGTCATACAGACGATCTGTTTGATGTTTCCTCTTCAGAGGGAGGTGTTCCTTTTCTCATTCACCAAGTGCATGCTCATGTGGGATTTAGTTAATTTTTTGACATGTATAGTATAGTAGGCCTTTTCGGAAAGTCAGATCTTCTAACCTTGTACTCCTTGTCCTTAACCTTTGTGGAAAATTTAATCAGGTGAAGTACATTGGATGGCACTGTTTAAATGTAATTAAACTCTACTTTTCCTAAATGTAAGTATCACTGATGTAGTCTCTAGGGACAAACTCGGGAAAGTTAAAAGTGCCATTGAGGCACCTTTCCTCAGCATTTTTCGAATTCAAACCACCTTTCCTAAAGTGTGTTATTTAAGATAATTTCTGTTGTGAATTGTTGCTCTGAGAATAAAACTGAATGGCTTGTTCCAAAATTGGAGAAAAGGAAAACAAATGATAACAACGTTGTCAATGGTTCACCATTGGACACAAGTGGTCAGAATAGAACAATATGATCCATTTTATTGTTAACCTCAGTGTATATTGATATACATAAAGTCCGACGATCAACCATCACATTTGGACTAATACGGCGAAAAAAAAATTAAAAGGATGTGAAGGGGATACTAATGGCCTGTATTTCATCCCCGAGAATTAAACACATCCTGGTATGTAAATAGACAGTAAAGAGATCGAAAGTCGCCTTTAATGAAGCAGCTGTGGCTAAATAGTAACAGGAGAGCTCGTAAATGGGAGATTTTGGTCGTGTCAGCAGGCGACAACCGACTTTGCATAAAAATCATTTGACATAAACAGAGCTAAACTCACCTGGCGAAATATTTTCGTGAGATGTCTTCCGGCCAGGCTGGTACATCTTTTGAGTCGTCCGAACTACAGTCCTGACAACTAGGAAAGAAAAGCTGAGCAAATTTACCTAGCAAGTTTGGTGGAGAAGTCTAGAGTCACGTGACCAGCCGAGTCACATGACGTCTGTCAGCCGTAAACAGCTCAATATGTAAATCTCGCCGATGTCTTAGCAGCAACTGTTCTCACCAAATAAACGCCCGAAGTCGTCGCGGAAAAGACATTCAAACGGGTAATGTGTTGTAAACGTGTTTTGAACGCTCATTCGTGGGATATGTGGCTCGTAAGAGAAAAAACAAGTCCGGTTGGACACGCTGTAGAAGCAAATAGCTAGTTATACTTCTTCCGTCCGTTCTTTTTGCAGCGACATGTGACGCACGCAACGCTGTCTGATAAATTTGTTTAAACATCTGATTTCCTGCGGTCTTTTACAAGTTGTCGAGTTAACTAATATCCATGTGTCACGCACCATTAGTCGACGTCACCCTACGAATAGCAGCAAACTACTTGGTCGCAGTCTGGCCTTAGTTGTGACATGTTGTCCTCCTAGTGTTCAGAAATGTCATACACTTGTGAAATGAACCTAACTAGCAAAACATAGTCATTCAACTAATGCACCGAACTCTCCAGCTAGCTAATTCGAGGAAGGACAATGGACATTAAAGCGGTATCACGCGCATGCTTTTTTGCCATCACTCGTTAGACAAGTTGGGCGCACTGGGACATTTTGTTATCTTATGTAGTCTAGTTTGCCGTTATAAATTACCTGTATTTCCTTACATTCGTTATCGTGTTTGAATGCTAATAGATGAGTTACTGCATATTCGTTTGTCAGTGTGAGCACAGGGGTAGGCAACTCTCGTCCGGAGAGAGCAGAAGTCCTGCTTGTTTTAGAAATTCCCTCTTCCAACACACCTGATTCAAATGATCAGGATCGTTATCAAGCTTTTACAGAGCTTGCTGAAGAGCTGCTCACTTGAATCGGGTGCATTGGAAGAGGGGAAACTAAAAAAAAACAAGCAGGACTGCGCCTCTCTAGGACTGGATTTGTCTACCCCTGTACTCGCAAATGTTTTAAGCTGGAATGGTAGCTAATATGATTGATCAGCCTCGTGTGGGTTTTTTTCGGGGTCAAATAATTATCCTACTGAATACAGTGATTTTTGTAACATGGTCTCACGATTGTGTACATACTTAAGCGTGACGTTGATTCTGAGCCTCACAGTTTTAAATGCATTGTCGTCATGGAGTGGAAACTATGCACAATTGCAATCCATTTTTGAAGGGGCGTCAATTACTAGCATTTCACTGTAGTAGGAACTTGAATAAAACATCTGATTTCCTGTCACCTTTTTCAGGTTGCTGAGACTTGTAGTCTATGGAGGGAATGAAGGATGAAGGACCCTCATCTCAGGATGAACCTCCACATATCGAAGGTGTGTAATTTGATACCTAACCTGCACACACACTACATGTTGTTGACTAGACAACAGTTTACTGCTCTTCCTTGCAAGTGGTCCAAATCTGTCTGATTGGGAGGCATCTCTATGTCCCAATTTTTTAATTGGAATTAAGTCTGGACTTGAGCTTGGACTTTGAGTTTTTACGTGTGAAGCCTTCTTGTTTTTTTTTTTGGTTGTTTTTTGTTCAGATATAATAATAATAATAATAATAATAATAATAGTAATAATAATCATCATCATCGTCATTCAGGTATTGAGAGAGTATTTTAGTAACAGTGCTGTACAGATCACAAAAATCAAGTACAGATATAAATACAAACGCAATAAAAACATTTCAAAAAGACAAAAGAACAGTTGAGTAAATAAAAGCACAGGGACAAGCCAAATACAACAACATGCCATTAAAACAGAGCAACAACTATGAGATAAATATCACAGTAAAAAGGCTTTAAAAACTGAACAAGCTTGCTTGATGTCAAGGGGGGGACAGCATTCCAAAGGAGAAAGCACAAGCTTGTAATCTTTTGTGGAAATCAAATTTCCAAATGTTAGTCATACCAGACACATTTTCTGTCAGTTGCCCCACATTAGTTTATTTTGTTTGTAATGGAGGTAAACGTCTGACTAGCAATGCAAATTTGAACATTTGACTTCATCTTTCAGATGCACAGCTGTCGGCGGAGGACCACATTTCTGTGGAGAGCTCAGTCCCTGTAGAAAATGTGTTTATAGACAAGGAAGCTGTGTACAAGCTGACAGAGGGCTTGCTTTCCCACTACCTGCCTGGCCTGCAGAACTCGAAACGCACCCTCCAAGAGCTCACGTGAGTTGATTGATGACCCCTGATCGTCGACTCATTCTTCATTGAGTACAGTGGAATCTTCTAAGTTGAACATAATCCATTCCATGATGTAGGTGGAGTTCCAAATTGTTCTTATTAAAACAAATGTTCGCACAGGAAGAAATACTAAGTGGAATCGTTTTGCTTTTTTTTTTTTTTCCGGGTTTAAACTGGCACCATTATAAAACTTAATTAACCATACAGATGCGGTTTCAGTGAGACATTTTTAACTGTCATACAAGTAAGGAAACCATTTAGCCTTTGTAATATCTGAACTCTTCCATTGAAAGCAGCAGTAACAGGATGTTCTTTGTATAGCAATCCTGTTACATAGGAGTTGTTTACTGTAAATGTATGTGGCACGGTGGCTCTCAAACTTTTTACATCAAGTCCCACCAATTTTCTTTACATTACTATGTTCTATGCAGCCCCACTATCCTAACCACAACATTCCGATTAATATTGCATTTGTGGAATAGAAGTTCCGCAGTAAAATCAGGTAAAAACCAATCACGGCTCACCTGTTCACTGAAGCTCTGCTATGATTGGCTGTTCACTGAAGCCTGAGCAGCTGTGATGTCATTTTCAGTTGACAGCAAGTGGCAAATGGCCGCTCCTTGAGATGGCTAAAAATGTGGATTTTTGCTGCCTAACTCCTATTCCACAAACACACTATTAATCATTATACTATGTTTAGACTAGTGGAGCTGCATAGAACATATTATTGTCAAGAAAAAAATTGGGTTGACTTCCCCCTTTAAAAAGTGTGCTTTATATTGTGTAATTGTGCACAGTTTGAACATCAACAACTCTGCACTTAAATATCAGACGATGAAAGCTATTGCATAATGACTATTCAAATATATTGCACATAAGTTAAATAACTGCCCAAATAAAAGATGAAAGGGTAAATATAACTGAGCTGTACTTGTTCCGCCCTCGCCACGTCCCCGTTGCGGCTAGACAGACAGATAACTCCTTCAATGACCACACCCATTGATGTTTCTTGCTATTTATTTAACGTTGAGGCGAGTCAAGAAGGTGTAAAACCGAAACAGACACACATAAAACACTTAGACGTTGTCGCAAATAAAACAATGTGCCCCACTTGTCTGACACATGACGAACGTGTGGCTACGCTAGTGTTGTTAACGTTAACGAGCTCATGCACCAATCGCTATGCGTAAATGCTAACCGTAAACAATTACAATGTCCCTCAAATGTGAATATACGGCGAACACTCCCCACTAAACTAATAAAGTTGCATAAATCTACAGAATAAACTTATGTGCAACAACATCCGGTGTGCCCATTCACAATTAAGATTAAGATAAGATATCCTTTATTTGTCCCACACTGGGGAAATTTACAGTCTACAGCAGCAAGATTGTGGGTAGAAAGAAGAAAGAAGGAAAAAAAAAACAAACACCGTTCAATTAAGTGCAATATAAATACAGATATGGATAAGGTCGCAGTGCTATTTACAATTGTTTTTCACATCATTTTATTTTTTATTCAGCAGCCTGACAGCAGTCGGTAGGAACGAGCGGCGGTATCTCTCCTTCTTGCAGCACGGGTGTAACAGTCTCTGGCTGAAGGAGCTACCTAGTGCTGTCAGGGCGGGCTGGAGGGGATGGGAGGGACTGTCCATCATAGCTTTTAGCTTAGTTAGCATCCTCCTGTTGCCCACCTCCTCCAGAGTGTCTAGGGAGCAGCCCAGGACAGAACTGGCCTTCCTGACCAGTCGCTCCAGTCTCTTTCTGTCCCGGGCCGAGATGCTGCCTGAACAGCAGACAATGCCATAATGGATGGCCGAGGCCACCACCGAGTTATAGAAAGTCTTAAGGAGTGACCCCCTGAACCCCAAAAGACCTCAGTTTCCTGAGTAGGAAGAGTCGGCTCTGTCCTTTCCTAATCAGGGTGTCCGTGTTCGTAGACCAGTCCAGTTTGTTGTTTAGAAGAACACCTAGGTACTTGTAGGAGGTCCCCCTCTCTATGTCCATACCCTGGATGTTCATCGGTGCTGGTGAGGACTGTTTCCTGCAGAAATCCACAACCAACTCCTTAGTTTTCCTAGGGTTGATCTGGAGGTGATTCTGCTGGCACCAGTCCACAAAGTCCTTCGTCAATAACAATTGGCCTTACAAAATAATGCAGCTCTGTAGCTATAGAAACAGAAAACAAATGTTACATGGCTCTTCAGGATCCAGAATAGTACTGAACGAACAAATGTTCTGTTCTGGATTAAGATCAAGTTGAAGCCATTGTCACAAGCGGACTTATATATTTTTACATGCTCTTCCAGACAAAATCAGCTCATATTGTTGGACACACTGGACCAAGAAGTCACCAAGTTCCAAGAATGCAACGCCTTACTTGACCTGAATTCACTGGTACGTTTGACCCTCACTTGCACCAGTTTCCCCACCTCACAAGGTCAGGAGATGTGTTCCCTCATCCAGTTTATTGGCTTTTACAGTTTACAGAGGCCAAGGTTTACCATAACAAACTGGTCAATATCAGGAAAGAGATGATTTTGATCCATGAACGGACAACAAAATTAAAGGTAATTCTTTGTCTTTGAATTTTCCTTTAAAAGAAAAGGTAATTCTTTGTCTTTGAATTTTCCTTTAAAACATCTTCTTTTACTCCTCAAAGACCGTGCTTTTTGTATGACTTACGTCACCGCTTGTGCATGTGCATGTATAATGACGTTTTAGAATTACTTATTGTACTTAGCTATTTTGTAGTACCCCCCCCCCCCCCACCTCAATTATGATTTATCTTCTCCTTGTGTCAATGGCGAGCAACCGATTGTTTCCATGTGGTTTCAGAAAAGAGCTTTAAAGCTGCAGCAGCACAAGCAGAAGGAGGCGCTGGAGAGGGAGCACCAGCGTGAGAAGGAGCTGGAGAGAGAACGACAGCTTATTGCCAAACCAGCTAAAAGAACATAAGCAGTATGGTGTTTTTGCATGTTTTCAGCCCATTTTCTACAACGCAACAATAATGTACATAGCTGCTAACCAATGACACTTATTTAATTTTTATTACTTTAGGGACATTTTTGCTTGTACTTTGAGACAATCAATAACATTTAAGGAAACTCATTAAGAGGCCAAAGTGACCATTTTAAAGTCTTGACAGCATCCAATGTTCTGCCTGGTACCCAGCCTTTTGTTTCTCTGTATTAAAATCTACCACTCGTTTAGTTTTCAGAAATACGAATGCAGTATTCTCCACCATATGGTGGCATATCTACTTGTCAATATTCTGAGAATTGCAAGAAGGTAAGCAGAAATGTTGCAGTATGAACACCTATTTATGTACAAAATGAGTTGAGAGTACCGTAAATGAAATCATGATTGTGTTCAAATACGAAAGTCCAGTGAGCTTAATGCTAACAAACAACGCAAGACGCAATAGATGGGCGAATGAATAGCATGGTCGAAACAGAAATGATGGTCCATGACATTAACACAGACAATGGAACAATACTTAGAGGTATATTTTCTTTATCAACAGTGAAACCTAAATTCTGCGCTGATTAGCCCGTATGTCTGTTTTAATCAGCCCGCAGATAGGCTAGGAGTAGCACACTCACAATGAATTATGATGCCCAAACTGTGTATTCTATTTTTGTGGTTCTCAAGCTTTTCACACTAAGTACCACCTTAAAAAAAATAAAATGAATAAATATCAAATGTTAATGTACTGTGAAAAGTTAAAAAAGAAGTACTATACTGTATTGAAAAAGAGGCAGTGTGCATAGCTATAAGCTTTAATCGATGTTTGATTGTAATGGATGTTTTTAAATGTTGTAAATTGGGTATTTATTTTGATTTCCCATAGCACTAGAGATAAACCACGTCCCACAAGAGGTACTTCATACCACACTGAGAATGACTGTTCCATTTAATTATGTCATAAATATGTTTTTTAAGTACCACTACTATAATACGATCCAGTACTCTCTCTCACGGATTGACTGTAATCATGTGGTATGCAGCTGTGCACAATGCAAAAACGTTCTGTAACTTTTTTTTTTTTTATAGACCCATCTTTTTTATTACCGTAATGAACAAATAAATAGCAGTAAAAATCAAAGTCTCGTACTTAAAAACCCCCCCCCCCCCAAGAATATATATATATTTCCCCCACCACGTATTTTATTTTTTTTAAGACACTAACAGGCTACTCCTGGGTCATTTGCCTGAAACAGTGAACATTGCACTTAACTAAACCAGTACAATTTGTTGCTGTTTGTGGAAGAGCCAGGTAGTTTTATTTGAACACTATGCCAACTGCCTGACAGGAGTCCCATTTTTAAGATGCTTGTGTCCACATGTTCAACACCTCTCTCTCCTGTGGTTGAGAGGAAAGATATTTCATCTGTGCTGTATATTGCACATAGAGCACATTTGACAATAAAGTTGACTTGAACTTCAACTAATCTTGTCATCTAAGATGCGTTTTTGCCAGTAAATTGAGAGATTTTGAAATCTAAATTGGAGTAAAAAAACAAAAACATGTTTCTCAGACAGAGAGATAGACAGTTTAAATGCATGAATTCTTCCATACAAACAGTGATGGATTAAACGAAAAGACGGTGAGTTGCTAATATTCTATTGGTATTCTCAACTGTCCAGCCCTAAAGATCAATCACTATCCTGTCTGTTTTTGTTGTCGTCGAGATAAAGTGTTACTGGGAATATAATTTTTACTGGCCATTGAACCCCTCACATTATAAAGTCTTTGTTCAAAAATGACTGTTGTGTGTCATGTTTGACTGCCAATAGTAAAATTACAATATAAGTACACTACTCACAAAAAGTTAGGGATATTTGGCTTTCAGGTGATATTTATGGAAAATGTCAAAAGTTCACATGACAGTGATATATCATGAAAGTAGGACATTAAAGTAAAGGGGATGCACTGGTGATTTCCTCATCTCAGACAATTCATTGAAACAAATGTTAACAATGATGTGTGCATCACAACAACAAAAATCAACGTCTCAATAACTCGTCATGTGGCCTTGAGCATCAATTACAGCTTGACAACAACGTCTCATGCTGTTCACAAGTCAACCGATTTGTCTGCTGAGGCATAGCATCCCATCTTCTTGAAGGGCGGGCCTCAGGTCAGTGAGTTTCTGGGGTGCAGAGTTACGAGCCTCTACAAGGCGACTCAGCTGATCCCAAAGGTTTTCATTTGGATCATGCGGTTTCTCAGGGCATTGTTGACAATGTAGCGTTCAGCAGCATTGGATGTGACCAACGGACATCCACTTCGATATCTTTCTGTGACTCTTCCAGTCTCTATTTCTGTTGCAACCTGCTGATGACAGTCTGTGACACTCTGAGCTCTGTGGCCACTTCCGTCGGAGAAGGTACTGTTGATCCATTATTAGGTTTCATCTTAGTCTCACGGTGTCAAAAATGTGAATAGCATGATGAGGTCGACTGTTTAAACACCAGCTCTAATTGAACCAGGACATTTATTGGTCAGTTCCAGGATTGCCACATTAAGCTCTGCTTGAGAGAACAGCAACTTGTCCAAAAAGTACTGAAACATTTAACAGTTGGACATGTGCATTCAAAAGCTTTGAGAAGGTCACATGAAGTTCACCTGAAAAGGTTTGAATGCGTTTAATTCTCGTCCTGAAATTTCACCTGAAAGCCAAATATCACTAACTATTTGTGTGTAGCGTTTACATTTCCTTATTTCTTGTTTCATTCGGGCAGATAATGTGAGGCAATCAGCATTTGACAGTTGAGGCGTTGCAAGTTTTGTTTGCAGGTTGAACCATTGGTTAATTCTGCCATCTAGTGGAAGAGCATTGAATTGTTCGGCAGAAAAAATAAAAGATTGTGTACAGTACATTATGTGTAGTAAATTGTATTTTTCGGCCTATAGGGGTGAAAAAATACGCTGTAATTTTCCGTAAGACACCTGATGATCTTTGACGGCACAGTTGTAAAATAATAGAACACACGGGCCTTAACTAACGTAACCTTTTGCAAATTTCCCATCCATAGCCCAGATCTCCAGTTAATCCAATTCCAATCTAATGCGAAAACGGGAGTGTGTTTTGAAGGAAGAGAGGTGTTCAATATACCGTAAATCTCGGTAGCCGTTAACGTTACTCAAAAACACTAAACATTCAAACTTGCTTTAACAAAGTTGACAGAGGTGGTAGCCAATCCCTGACCAGCACAACACATCAATCATCTACAGATTTCAATAAATTTTCTACGTGTGTGCGTGTGTGTATTTCCATACTTACATTTGGCGTTTAATCCAATCGCAAAAGGCCGTACACGAGTGCTGTTGGATGCAATGACAATGTCAGGACAGAAGATGTCAGCATGGGCATTTAAGAGTTCCTCAATGGCAGCTCAGGTCTGAGCGCTGATGTAATTTCTTCTACCGCGGTGGTTATTTTTTTTCGAGTAGAACGCTTGCTCACTAAAGGCCCGATTTCACAGAACTTCACTGATACAGTCAGCTCAAGTGCTGATAAGTATGTGCTCCTTTTAGTCTTATAGCCTTGCCCTTTTCACCTGATCAGTGGCATGCTTTATTTTTTTCTGTTACAGTGGTGCGAAGTAACGGATTTTTTTTTTTTTTTTTTTTTTTTTTTAGAAACGTGCATATTTAGATTTTTCAGGTACTGTATCTGAACTTGAGTATTTTTCTGACAACTTTTTACTCATTATTTTGGAAAACACATCCGTATAACCTAGTTCTTACTTTGTCAAACTAGGCACCTTACTTTTGTCAACATCCTGAACATGACATAAAAATACATAGAGAGGTCCATATGACCTTGTTTAACAAAAGAGAAAAACTATGTCCAGCAGTGTAATTTTCATTGTCAAGTTTACAAAACCAATATTATGATTGACAGTAAAAATTAAATTCAGTCTGTAATTTTTCCTTTTCTGTCAGTACAAGAATTGAATTTGCTTTGACCTTTCATTGCAGAAAGTGTCTGGATTTCTACTACTTAAGTACGGAGCGGGAGCCCCCCCCCCCCCAAAAGACAGCGGTTTTCAAAATGGTCAACTAATTTCTGCCACCATTGTTTTATACTGGCTAAAAAAATGTTTTTCTTCTGTTGACAGAAAAGTAGGTTACATTCCTATGCGTCCCAACATAACCACGTGTCTACTGGAGCCCTGCCAATTCACATAAAGCTCCAATTTTCTACCCCACTGCTACTGCTAGAAACCAATACTGCATGGTTCACCCCCGCCCCGCCTTACTTGGAGCTAATAGTGCCCCACAGAGTGGTCATGGAGGGGTTCAGACTAGGGATGTATCAGCCTTAACTCTGTGCCGGCGAAGGCAAGATGCCGAAGTGAAAACTGTCCCTTTCAATGTGGCCACTTATCAAAGCACGTCTGTATTTGTTTGTGTGTTTTTAAATGCACTTCCTTAGCATATGGATACCAGAAAATCTGACCAGCAACACAGGAGCTGTTGAATTTATGAAACTGTGTCAGGAGAATATGAAGATTCATTTTAAATATAGGACAGACATTCAGTTTCACATCCAGATCACACATATGCAACATTGTCATGCAATTCCAAATATGGAATCACCTTTTTAGAAGCTTTAATATAAATGCAATTGGATTGCAGGGTAGCTACTGAAAAAGTAGCTCGTTACCTCAACATAAAAAAATTAATCGATACAACGCATTTTCAGTGCTGGTACTGATGCAGTTTGGCAAATAGTGATCACTTCTCAACAAAAAGAGCTAACACTCCTTGCTTCAAGTGGTTTATTGGTCACTCCAGTGAAATATGGACAGTATTTTACTCTGTGGACAGAACGAAATTTGAACTGCACCTGCTCTATTCAGCCTTTGGCCCCACACAACAAAACAGCAACTGTAAGGAGATAATACCTGAAGCACCTTTGAAAAACAACAGTCAAATCCAAAATACTCTATGACACCCAACTGACGTTTACTCAAACTGACACAGAAAAAAAGAGAATTAAAATATGATGCAGTATATTTAAAGTGTGCATCGGAAGGAAAAATATAGATGGTTTATCAAGAAAAATTGCATTTTGGTTACACTGGTTATATTAAAGCATGTTTAGAATACTGTAGCTCAGTGATTCCTAATTAGTGTGCTGAGCAATTTTTTATATAAAATGACCATAAATTAGCATTTTGTGCATGTTATTTTTATATTAATAATAATTTTTAAAAAGTTCCATGTGCTTCCTTTTCAAATAATCAAAAAAGGTACGACAGTATATGCTTCCTTTTCAACTTTGTGCATCTGCTCCTCAAGGGTTTCTGCACACTCTTGGCATCGGTGCCATAACCCTTTAAGCTATTTGAACATAAACAGGGAGCAACAAAAGTCGATGGAAAATATAACAATACTCACAAGCCTATTCTTTATCCTCTGTGAAGAATGGCTACCATTAATATGGCTTATTGAGCAATTGGTACTGTTTCCTTTATGTGTGTCTGCATTATCTATTGCTACGGTAATAATTTGGCCAAAAACTTTAATTCTTTACATTCTATTTAATTATGTCATTACTGTTTGTTTTCACAAATAGGTTCAATATTTAAGGGTGTGTTTTTTTCAAATAAAAAAAACACATTACAAATATGTTTTTGGCGGGGAGTGAAGGCTGGAACAGATTAATGACATTTCTTTTCGTGTCATTGTGGGAACATGATTTGAGAGTCTTTTGAGTTCTTAGCATGGTCACGGAACATAATTTACGGTAAAAGACAGACAATAGGTGTCATGGTATGTGTACTATTCCGCAAGGTTGTTTTTTTCTCCCCCATATAAAAACACCACTGTCTAGAATGAGTCAATTAGACACTCTTCTTGCAGGCATGGGTGGACGGCATCCTGAGAGGTAGACAGTCTGGGTTGCGTTCCTCCACGTGTTTGGTTTTAACCCGTCTCCGCTTTTAGAAAGTTGGCTGTCAGAAAAAAAAAAAAAAAAAAAATCACAAGCCCCCTCGTTTCACGAAGCCACAGACATGGAGCAGGAGGAGATGATGAAGTTGTAGTGGCAAGGGCTTCCTGTCTCTGTAAACAGTGATTCAGACAAACGGCTGAGGAGTAGGAGGCTGTGGTCTGCTTCAGACTGGCAGCGCCAAGCCTCTCCCAGAGCCACCATAACAGGATATGGTCCTCGGGCCCACACTGATGACGGCTGCGTGGTGTAATTATTTCCCTCAGGTTT